CCTTGGTGCAGCGACTGTGGAGATTAATGCGTTGGTGTTAATGATCTGGCTTTGAAAAGCACAACAAGATTACATGTCAGAGCAGCCCTCTGTACGTCTCCGCTCAATATCAGGACACCAGCCGCTCAATAACAACGTGTAAAAGTCAGCTCGGACCAAACAACGACCTCCCGCTCACAAATAACAACAGTCTGTACTCTGGCACACGTCACATTTATTCCACTTTGAACTGTTGGTCTGAACTTCATCCCTTTACTGTTCTGTGTCTCTGTCTGTACAGTATGAATCTTTGGGATGTGGCCGACTTTCTGAAGAAGTACGGAGTCATCAATGCCATTAATCTGGATGGAGGCGGGTCTTCCACCTACGTGACTAATGGATCATTGGCCAGCTACCCCTCCGATCACTGGTGAGCCAATTAATCCTTCGTACACAAGGAACAAAGTCTTCACTTCACTTTGCCTTTAACATGAGGCCCTCCTATTCACCGACAGTGAAACGTTACCGTGTTTCCCGAAGTATCGCCTTGGAAAAGTTTGATTAAAGCAGCAACAATAGAAAAAGAAGTCCTCAATTTTGCATCATTTGAGTTGCTTTTTGGCTTTTTTGTTAAAGAGTTAATGAACATTTAACTAATTTAGTCTCCTCATGGCTCTATAACACATCCCTGATCACCACACACAGAACTGATGTCACCTTCCTCGCGTTAACACAAGAAACAAACAAATAAACGTCCTCCACCGTTCCCCCTTCCCCTCACAGTAAATCGGACAGCAGGTGGCGCTGTGACCGGAACGTCTCCACCATACTGTGCGTTCACCCGCGCCGCTGCCAGCCGGCGAACTGCAGCGGACACGGAGACTGCGTAGACGGACGCTGTCGGTGTCGGGAGGGCTGGCAGGGCGCCGCCTGTGACTCTCTGGTGTGTCAGCCGCCGACCTGCGGCCCCCACGGCGTCTGCACTGCCAGTAAGTGTGGAGGCGGAGCTCAGCTGAATCTCATTTATTTTACTTTCTGTGTTTTTATTTAGCACTGTATTCAACTGGGATGGTCTCTGGAGGTTCCTAATATTTAGTCTAGTCTAGTTTAGGAGGAAACACAGACACCATTAAACTGCAGGAAGATGAATAACAAAAGGAAGAAGACTAAAAAAGACGACTAAAATACCTGTTACATGTGCTCCTTCCTGTCCTTAAAATATGACTTTGTAATGCAATATATCATTCATCACCTAAAATAGCTCAGGGTTCACTTTCTGACTTATTTACCAGAGCTTTAAACAGTTTATGACGGACTTCCTGACATCCAGAATGAACCTTTAAACTTTGTTTTTAAAATCAGAGGGTTTATTGTGCTTTGTGTCAAGCAGGTGAAGCCGTCCATCTTAAACCTTCACAGGCCACCCAGCAATATATTAAAGGTTCAGTGTGTAACATTTAGGAGGATCTATTGAAGTGGGTGAACTGAGTGAGTTACGATCTTCAACTACACTGCTAGATGCCTCTAAATCCAACACGCCGGCCCTTTAACATTAGCTCCCCCTGATCAATTATTATAATCTAATGATATTTTTTATTTTTGGCAGTTACAGTCTATTTAATGCTGAAGTAAAAGACCTGAGTGCCTGTTGGCTGTTGACTCACTGTTTGTCTGCACTGTGTCCTCTGTGTCGCAGATGGCTGTGTCTGTGATGCTGGATGGAGAGGAAAGAACTGCAGCCAAGGTAATCAGGAGCCACACACACACACACACACACCTACACATATACACACACACACACACCACACACACACACACACACACACACCACACACCAGATCAATTAATGTGCACAGGGGACCTGATAGTGAGCCAGAGGAGAGTAGGAGGTTCGGGTGGGTAGTGGCGCCAAGATGTAAAAGCCCTTTAACACGGCAGCCATTATGACATGAAACACACACACACACAGGTGTTAACTGACACTAATTACAGTCCCGTTCCATTTAGTGTAGCAGAGCCTTTAGTGTTAGTATTTTTAGCGGACGGAGTTCCTTTAACGTCGATTTCTTCTCTTGTTTGAAGAGTGCCTTCCAGGTTTCTATGGCGACGGCTGCAACCAAACCTGCGCCTGTGTCAACGGCGGTTCCTGCGAACCCGTCCACGGACGCTGCGCCTGCCCCTCTGGTTTCCACGGCAACACGTGTGACCAAGGTAGAGCTGCGTCGCGCTGCAGCGTGTCAGACGGTTCGTTTTTAGAAGATTTTACTTACTCCCTTTGTGTCTGTGTGTCAGTGTGTCCTCTGGGTTTCTTCGGTCCGTCCTGCACTCAAGAGTGTCGCTGTGACGACCTGTGTCCGTGTGACCCCCAGACAGGAAGCTGTAACGCCACGCTGAGAAAAGAGACCAACTACACCTTACAGAGAGGTACACACACATACACACAGTTACATAGAGCTGATTATCTCCCTGCAGCCTCACAACTTCCTCTTCCTCGTTTACATCATACACTTACTAGAGATTATTGTGTGTTATTGATGCACTGAACTGACATCGAACATGATCTCGCCAGTTGTAACCTCCAATCAATCACCTGTACGCACAAATGTATGTCCACCACTTTCGTTTTGCACTGCTGGAGTGAGACTGAGAGGGAGACACTGACAAAGAGTGTTTATCACCGTGTGTGTGTGTGTGTGCGTGTGTGTGCGTGTGTGTGTGTGTGTGCTCACGTTTAGCAAATGTTTGACTATTTGCATTGAGCAGAGGTAAAAACAGTCCAGTCTTTGTTGGCGTCTGTCCAAACAGAGCTGTATCGACTCAACCGGGAGGACTGGAAATGTTTCAGCTCCCACAAACTCTATAAAGAAACAGAGAGGCTGGATGTAGATGTAAACCTACCAGAGCTTCTAGAGCTCACTAATTAACATGTCATTTTGCTAATTGCATATTGTTTACTAGAAAGCAAATAAGCATATTTCCAAACATGTCAAACTGTTCCTTTAAATCAGTTGTTTCCCTCAAATTACCAATAGTTGTCTTTAAATGACTCTATTGGATGGTAAATGTACCTGTTTTTGTTTCCTATTTCACCCATAATTCATATTAAATGATCCTAAATTGGATTTATCTCCTCATTTTGGTTTAAAATTTGACTGAGACACAAACATGCGGGTGACAATTTAAAGTGTTTAACATTAAGGAGGATCTATTGTCAGAAATGTAATATAATATTCATCATCAGTATGTTTTCATTACCTGAATATAACCCAAAGTGGATCTATACAGGGTCTTAGCCACCGTAGTTTCTCCTACACGCTGGGAAGGTGAGGGCTGAGGGGATTATAGTTTACTAAAACTAAAATAAAAACTAGACTTGAACTGAAGCGATATTGTGTACTAAATGAACTAAATATACAGGAAATGTCTTTAGTTTTAGTTAGTTAAGTACTGAGACTGAGTCAGTGTTTGTATTGTAATACCTATTCTGGACTTCTTCAGTCTCGCCCCTGACAAATGCCCCCCTGACAAATGCCCCCCTGACAAATGCCCCCACTTATTTTAATTAGAAACAATAAAAGAGAAGAAAGGAGCCCAACCGGCAGCTGCAGCAGTGAAGAAGCTGCTGATGTGTGCGGCGGCTCCAGAGTGGAGACCATATGTGTAACCTTGTCAGCCGTGTCAGAGGGGGCAGTCTCACCCGGGTGGGGTCTAGCAGTTTGTGAACATCATTGCACAATAATGCTGTAAACTGAAGGATGACGTCATTATGGGTTAAGTTGAGCATTACTGTACCTGGAGTCACAAAAAAGGTCGCATCGGTCTTAACCAGTCAGTGATTTAATGCACCACCCTGCGAGAGAGTGACACATATCAAACACACCACGATTAGCGTTGATGCTAAACTGCTCATGGTGGATTGGTGATTTCTACATTTGGTACATTGTTTATGAACTTTTACCTTCAGTGAGGGGTGTGAGAGGACTTTCTGCTGTTTGGCAGTTTCCATCACAGTTGGGACTAAAGCTGAAAGGAGAGCAGCGGGACACAGAGGCTAACGCTAACGGTTGGCGGACTGGTTATACTGTGAACTGAAAACAGTCAAACAAAGTTGAACCAGGGGCGGATTGTTGAGGTTCACACAGCTCACAGAATGACATTCAGACAACCACTGCACTAACTCACAGAGAGGGACACATAACCACTGGTATAGCATAATATAAAATAATGAACTCTTAACCACCGGGGGTTTCACTGAGGGACCATCAATAAATTACTCAGACAATGCCCATTTATATTGCTACACTATACAAAAAGGGCACATATCTATTTTACTTCTTGTATTTTATATTAATATATAGATTCATATATATATATAGAGAGAGAGAGATTTCTTTCAATAGATTCATATGAAAAAGTCCAATTCAATGCTGAATTATACTAATACACTAGACAAATTGGATATTTGGATTTTACCGTCTTCTGTTTTATATTAATGTAGAAAAATAAGCATTATTTTTCAGTAACTTCCATGTCAGGTGACTCAGGCACTCCAAAATAATGATGAATTGTCTTAATACACCAGACAAATAGGACACACTTATTTTTATTGGATTTTATTGCTTCTTGTATGTTTTATTATTTTATTTTTTTTATAGATTCCATGTCATGTGAACAAGTGACTCCAAATTAGTGCTGAGCACATTCCCACAACTGATTGTTACACACTCTGTGTGTATTTTAGTATTTATGTTTGTGTGTTATCTCTATGTACTTTTTAATGTTTTCTGCCTGCTGGTGTTGTGTGTTCTATTTCATATTATTTATATGGAAAAATCTTGAAACAATAAAATCCAATAAAAAGAATTGTCCTTTTGTTTAGTGTAGTAATCAAATGTGACCCTATCATTATGTCACCCATCGGTTTGTGATGTACCGCTTTGAAGCCTCGAGTTCGGCGTCATGGTCGTCACCATGTTGGTTTTTCAGAGCCAGCCGAGGTGACGCACTGCGAGTTGAGCTGCTCTCATTGGCTGCGCAGTTTCTACTTATCCGTAGCAGGAAACAATTGCGGC